AAAAAGAAAGTAAAATAAGGCTGGGCACAGTGGCTCATGCTCTGGGAGGCCCAGGTGGGTGGATTATTTGAGCTCAGGAGTTCCAGACCAGCCTGAGCAAGAGTGAGACCCTGTCTCTACTAAAAATAGGAAAATTAGTTGGGTATTGTGGCTCCCAGCTACTAGAGAGGCTGAGGCAAGAGGTTAGCTTGAGGTTGCTTTGTGAGCTATGATACCATGGCACTCTACCCAGAGTGACAGAAAAACTCTGTCAAATGTGAGGTTGCTATGTGAGCTATGACACCAAGGCACTCTACCTAGAGTGACAGAAAGACTCTGTCTCAAAAAATAAATAAATAAAATAATAAAAGTAGGGCCGGCGAGGTGGCTCACACCTGTAATCCCAGCACTCTGGGAGGCTGAGGTGGGTGGATCACTTGAGCTCACCTAAGCTCAAGTTTGAGACCATCCTGAACCAGAGCAAGACTCTATCTCTAAAAATAGCCGAGTGTTGTGGTAGGCACTTGTAGTCCCAGCTACTCGGGAGGGTGAGACAAGAGAATCAATTGCTTGAGCCCAAAAGTTTGAGGTTGCTGTGAGCTATGATGCCATAGCACTCTACTGGGGGCAACAAAGTGAGACTCAAAATAAATAAACAAATAAAAGTAAACTAGTCTTCTTCAGAAATATGTGAAGCTATAATTTTAGTATTTGAACTTCCTTCAAATAGTATATATCTAATTTTCAAGCCATAAAGTGATTTGCAAGCGTTTAAGACAATTTGATAGTATTTATTAAAGGGTTGGACAGCATATTTATTCACGAATCTAGTAATTATGAGGCTAGAATTAATCGTAAGGAAATTAATACAGTTTCTATATAATACTAAAAATGGTAAATCTCAACAACAAACAAGTAAATAAATTATGATTTGTTTACCCAATAGAATGCTTTGGAGTCATTAATTGATCTAGAATGGAATGTAATAAGCTATAAAAGCACCGAAAAAGCCTTTTCTATACTAGTAACATAACCACCAAGATACATGAAGTGACAAAGATACAGAACAGTCTACAAAATATGGTCAACACTGTACACATATTTGCAGAGATAGGAAGTTATACACACAAACATATACAAACATATTTATAAAATATCCCTGGAAAGCTGTACAAAAGCTGACTTAACTTTGGCTGTCTCTAGGTAGGAAAGAATCTTGGGTGGCTGGGAGTGGGGAAACTTTTCAATGTATATGATGAATTCCTTTTGAATTTAGGACTACAAAAAAAAATGATAGCAGGCTGGTGGAGGGTAGAATGTTTCCTCTAGAGACAATGAGATTAGTTTGGAATCGGACAGGTGGAGGATGTACAACCTTGTGAAAATACTAAATGCCAATGAATTAAAGCTGTACACTTTAAAATGAGTAATTTTATTCCTTTCCCTTACCCCCTCCCTCCTTCTCTGTCTGCTCTCCCCTTCCCCCATGCTCCACCATCATTAATTGCCATTAATTGACCTCATATCAAAGTTGAATACATAGGATTCATGCTTCTCCATTCCTGTGATGCTTCACTAAGAATAATATATGCTGAGGCAAGTGAGCAATACCTGGGATCAGGCAGAATGAGATTGATATTCAGCTTTCCCTTCTAACTAGTTGTATGAACTTGGGAAGTTACTACTTAATTTAATTTAGAATTAAATTAATTCTCTAAATTTCATTTTCCTCATTTATAAAGTAAATCATATCTACTGAAAAATAAATAAATACAATATTTAGCTGAAGTATTATAGCTTATTAAAATTAACAAGTTCAAATACTTAAATCATTTCATAAGAATCTCTTACATAAAATAACTGTGATTAATTTTTCTCAAAAATATGGATAGGATCCCAAAGCTATCTACAGATTCAATGCAATCCCCCATTAAAACACCAATGTCACACTTTCAAGATTTGGAAAAAACAATTCTTTATTTTACATGGAACCAGAAAGAACCCTGTATAGCCAAAGCAATTCTTCGTAATAGAAAGAAAACCATGGAGGCTCAGTGCCATAGCTCAGTGATCAGGGTGCCAGCCACATACACTGGGGCTGGCGGGCTGGAACCCAGTCCTGGCCTGCTAAACAACAACTACAACAAAAACAACAAAAGTAGCCGGGTGCCGTGGCAGGCACCTATGACAAGAGTATCACTTAAGCCCAAAAGTTTGAGGTTGCTGTGAGCTCTGATGCAACGGCATTCTACCGAGGGCAATATAGTTTGAAACTCTGTCTCAAAAACAAACAAACAAAAAACCAAACATAAACAAAGCTGGCGCATCACCCTAAAAGACTTTAGGCTACATTACAAGTCCATAGTGATCAAATAGCATGATATTGGCACAAACAAATAGAGACACAGACATTTGGAACTGAATAGAAAATCATGAGATGAAACTAACATCTTACAGCCACCTGATATTTGATAAACCAAACAAGAACACACACTGAATCCCTATTCAATAAATGGTCCTGGAAGGTCTGGATATCCATATGTAAAAGACTGAAATTAGATCCGCCCCTTTCACCACTCACAAAAATTGATTCAAGATAGATAAAAGATTTAAATCTAAGGCATAAAATAATAAAAATCTTCAAAGAATGTATGGGGAAAATACTTGAAGATACCAGACTGGGGAAAGAGTTTATAAAGACGACTTCTATGGCAATTGCAACAACAAAAATAAATAAAAGAGACTTGATTAAACTGAAAAGCTTCTTTACATCTAAGGAGACAATAACCAAAGCAAAGAGACAACCTTCAGAATGGGAAAAGATTTGCATATTACAAATCGGACAGAGGTTTGATGACTAGGATCTATAGACAACTCAAATTAATGAACAACAACAAAAAGCTAACAATCCAATAGATCACTGGGCAAGAGAAGGCTGTCTCAGACTCTGAGACAGAATCTTCTCTAACGGAGACAGACAAATGGCTAACAAACACATGAAAAAATGCTCATCATCCCTAATCATCAGAGAAACGTAAATCAAAACCACCCTGAGATATCACCTAACCCCCAGTGAGAATGGCCCACATCACAAAGTCTCAAAGCTGCAGATTGGTGGCTTGGATGTGGAGAATGCAAACTAATACAGCCTCTTTGAAAAGAAGTATGAAGAATCTTTAAAGATCTCAAATATAGTCATTTTTCTAAACTATGATTTTATTCCTAAATCACAATTTTCTTATGCTAAAAATACTATCACCTATTTTTTTTAACCAGAGTTTTTTTTTTTTTTTGAGACAGTCTCACTTTGTCACCCTCAGTAGGATATTGTGATGTCACAGCTCATAGCAACCTCAAACTTTTGGCCCAAGAGATTCTCCTGCCTCAGCCTCCAAAGTAGCTGAGACTTCAGGCGCCCGCCACAATGCCAAGCTATTTTTTTGTGGCAGTTGTCATTGCTGTTTAGCAGGCTCGAGCAGGGCTTGAACCGGCCAGCCAAGGTGTATGTGGCCAGCGCCCTACCCACTGAGCTATGGGCGCCACCCCCTATTTTTTTTTTTGATAAAAACTCATTTGATTTAAAACAGAAAACATATGGCTTGGTGCCTGTAGCACAGTGATTATGGTGCTAGCCATATACACCAAGGGTGGCGGGTTCGAACCTGCCCTGGGTCCGCTAAATGACAACTGCAACAAAAATATAGCCGGGCATTGTGGTGGGCACCTGTAGTCCCAGCTACTTGGGAGGCTGAGGCTAGAGAATCACTGAAGCCCAAGAGTCTGAGGTTGCTGTGAGCTGTGATGCTACCGCACTCTACTGAGGACGACATAGTGCGACTCTGTCTCAAAAAGAAAAAAAAAAGCATAGACAGGATTGATTCCTCACACAACCACTTACTGAGCACAGTATTTGGAACTTGGCTGCATGTGAGGCACGTGTCTTAGTCACAGGAGATCAACAGGGAAAAACTAAGTCCCTGTCTTCGTAAGCAAGACACACGTCACGCAATGGCAGCTATGGCAGCTAAAGAGGCACATGGGAGAGAGAGGAAGAGAAAATTTTTCTAATGAGGGAAAAACTTAGGCATTGAGACCTGAAAAGCGAAGAGGCAAATTATGCAAGTACGGGAGAGAAGAGAGTCCCGGGGAAAGGAAGTAGCAGAGGCCCGTGTCCCTATGCAGGAACACAAACGGCACTTGCAAGACGTGGCAAACAGGAAATCGGCTGGGAAAGGCCACAGGAGATGAGGGTGAGAATGTGCTGTTCAGGCCACAGTAAGAGCACAGAGTTTACTCAGAGTGATGAAGCACCAGCGGAAGGCCATGACGAGGGCATGAGATGATCACAGCTTTTACTTAAGAAGCATGGTCTAGCTGTTTTCAGAAGTCTTTAATGAGAGGTGGTAGCACCTTGGAATAGAAGATATCTGAAGTGGAAGTGTTGAGATGTGCTCAGATTTGGAATATATTTTAACGGCAGAGCTGTTAGGATTTGCTAATGAACTAGATGTTTCACTTCTGGGAACTTAACTCAAGGATTTCATTATGCTATTCAAAAAGATTTATATACGAAGATAAACAAAATAGGCTACTAATAACTGAATATAAGGTGATGAGTTTAATAAGCTCTGGTATAACCATAAACTAGAATAGATGCAGCCATTAAGAAATGATGATGTTAAATATATAATGACATGGAAATAATACAAAATATTAAGCAAAAATAATTACAAAACAAAGTGTTCACTATTGGCCCATTTTGTCCTAGTAGAACATGGAGAAAGAAGACTAAAGGGGACATATCAACACATTAATAAAACCCTTCTCTAGGGTGTGGGGTTACATTCTTACAACTTACCTTCTTTCAGCTTACTATAGTTCCTAATTTTCTACAATGATGAAGTATTACTTTTATAAGAAATCATTTTGAAAACTGAAAGACCACTGTTGAAAGACTACTTTCAATAAATCTGATTATAGAAGAATAACTGAATCCACGAATGGTCTTCTTTGTTACTTACCATCACTTTTCGCAAAGTGTACCGTTTGCACCGAATGTCGTCCATCAGCATCTCGTAAGGGGTCAGCTGATACTCAATGGGCAGAGGGTTATACTGCCGCTCTTGGACCTTCTTCAGTTTTACACCATTTCGCAAATCCCTCATCACCTGTACCCAGAATCTTGCCTGAAATAACCAAGGGTGGAGAGACATCAGTGAATAAATTTACTAGTTTCCTCTAAATAGCTACAGTCATATAAAAGAAAAGCTTAGATTATAAAACACAGAATAAACCAAAGAAAAACTATTTAAAAATTGGATTTTAAGATACTAAAAGACAGGCAGAAAGTCAGTGGAGCATCTATAGGCTCTGCCTGCTGAGGCCTCTGGTGTAAACCCCAGGTGTCCTCCGTGGTGGGCTGCATCACAGGCTCCAGTTTAGCATGCCTCCCTGTGTTAGGGGACTGTGTTCACTAAGGCAGAGTGTGTTTCCCATACCCTGACTTTGGGTTTGGCTATTTGGTTGGTATGGCCACTAGAAGAATGGTTAATGTGATAATAGCAAGGGCTTCAAAAGTACTTGTCCCTCCTGTTTCTATTTTAGCCATGAGAATATCTAGCCTGGATTGGCCTGTGTTCTTGCAGAGTGTAGCTACCACAAGGGATCTGCAGACCCAATGGGCTAGATAAGTGCTTTTGCTGCCGTGATTGTGCAGTGGTTGGTTACACAGCAGTACTGGCCACAGCTGGCTGATATAACACCCACCCACCACTTGATGTCTAGCAATCTGCTGCATCCTTCTATCCTTAGTTTCTTTTCAAAGAAAGAAAAAAGCACTTTAAAACTTGATGAGAAAATCAGAATTTCTAGATAGTGGTCTTGTACACACAAAATGCTCAAATATGACCCTTTTACTGTTACTGTCTTTGCATACATTATTTAACCACAGTTTTCATATCTATAAATAAAAGGTTGCTTTGTCTACCTTTAAAAGTTCTGAGGCCAGGCTGGGCTGGGTGCAGTGGCTCATGCCTGTAATCCCAGTACTCTGGGAGGCCGAGGTGGGTGGATCGCTTGTTTGAGCTCACAAGTTTGAGACCAGCCTGAGCAAGAGGGAGACCTTGTCTCTACT